CATCATCTCAACAACATCATCATCAGCAGCAGTAGCAACAACATCATCACCATCATCGTCACCACCATCACAACAACAACAACAACCATCATCACCACCATCATCATCCTTACCACCACCAGCACCACCAGCACCACCACCATCATCATCACCATCATCGTCGTCGTCGCCGTCGCCATCGTCGTCATCTTCGCCACCCAAAACACTACCACAAACACCATCATCACCACCGCAATTTTGGCCATGCTTCTCATCATCCTTCTCCTCCTCCTCCTCCTTATTATCATCATCATCATCATCATCATCATCATCATCATCATCATCATCACCACCACCACCATCATCACCACCACCACCATCATCACCACCACCATCATCACCATCACCATCACCATCATCATCGTCACCACCACCAGTCTCCTGCCCCCGAGCAGCCTGCAGCTTGCTAACCCACGCGGTCACGTCGAGCACCTGGGGTCTCCGAGCACGGCGGTCGCTGGCCCGCTCGCGCGCACCTGTCCAGACGTGCCCGCTCGCCGGCATTCTCCTCTTCCTCGCTCCTCGCTCCTCGTCACAGTCCTCCTTGCCAGTCTTCCTCCTCCTCCTCCTCCTCCTCCTCCTCCTCCTCCTCCCCATCCTCCTCCTCCTCGTCCTCCTCCTCCGTCTGGCCAATCCTAGAAGGGGGACTGCAAAGCTGTTCCCCAGTCGGACCTGTGTTTCAGAAACTCTTGGAGCTAGCCTGATTGAGATGGGACAGACAGAGACAGAGAGAGAGAGAGAGCAAAAAAAAACTGGCGAAAGACCCAACCATATGCAGTTGTGAGTAACGCAGGTGTGAGTGTGGTCTTCGGTGGAGCTCCCTTTGGGGCCACGAAGCGTGTGAGGGATGTACCGACATGGGCGCGGTGGGCGCATGCGAACGCGTGGGAGGGATATGCCGAAATGGGCGCGGTAGCGCCATGCGAGCGCAGCCACTTGGGCCGGTGGAACTCCCCATGGGGCCGCGCAACATGTGAGGGGTATGCCGGAATGGGTGCGGTGGTGCCATGCGAACGCAGCCACTGGGGCCTTCGGTGAAGCTCACTATGGGGCCACGACACATGTGAGAGGTGTGCCGACCACGGGTGCGATGGTGGCATTTGAGCGCAGCCACCGGGACCCTCGGTGGAGCCCCTTATGGGACCACGAAACGTGTGAGGGATGTGCCGACATGGGTGCGGTGGTGCCATGCGAGCGCAGCTACTGGGGCCCTCGATGTGGCTCACTGTAGGGCCACGAAACGTGTCAGGGGTGTGCCGCAATGGGCGCGGGTGTGCTATGCAAGCGCAGCCACTAGGGCCCTCGGTGGAGCTCCCTATGAGGCCACGAAACGTGTAAGGGGTGTGCCGACATGGGTGCGGTGGTGACATGTGAGTGAAGCCACCAGGGCCCTTGGTGAAGCTCCCTGTGGGGCCACGAAACGTGTGAGGGGCGCCTACATGTGCGCGGTGGTGCCATGCGAGCGCAGCCACCAGGGCCCTCGGTGGAGCTCCCTATGAGGCAACGAAACGTTCGAGGGGTGTGCCGAAATGGGCGCAGTGGTGACATGCGAGCGCAGCCACTGGGGACCTCGGTGCAGCTCCCTATGGGGCCGCGAAACGTGTGAGGGGTGTGCCGAAAATGGAGGGTGCAGTGGTGCCATGCGAACGCAGCCACTAGGGCCCTCGATGGAGCTCCTGTGGGGCCACGAAACCTTTGAGGAGTGCGCCGAAGATGGGGAGGGAGCAGCGGGTGGGAAGGAGACGCGGGGCGCGATCTCTTCAAAACGAGAACCTCACAACCAGTCGTTTGGGGAAAACTGCTCCTCCTCCTCCTCCTCCTCCTCCTCCTCCTCCTCCTCCTCCTCGTCCTCCTCCTCGTCCTCCTCCTCGGCGCTCCTCCTCGTCTGGGAGCGCCCCAGCACCCTCCCTGCCCCCAGTAGGCGCATCCTGCCCCACACTGTCATACCCCCGAGTTCCTGCGCGCATGATCATGATCGGTCACCTGCTACTCTTCATATCCGCTTGTGATTTCACTGCGGACTGCTATCGACGACGCCCGCCGCTCACGCAGAGTCTGCGCTAGACGCCCCTGGCTCACAAGTAACAGCTCTGTTTCCAGGCTTCCGGGCTGGATTCGCAAGCGACAGGACTCCTCTCCTGTGCGTTCGTTTACCTCTATTCGCATGTGGGCGCCAAGGCGCTCTCAAGACGGCTCGGTAGGGGATGCCCTGGGCAGGCTGAAGATAATCTTGGAGGCGACCAAGGATGCTTTAAGAAGCAGGCCGACAGCTGAGGAGGTGTGGCAATGGAAGCGATGAGATCATGGCGACATGATTTATCGGAGACTACTTAATGATGCGGGTAAAGGCACGCGCGGGGGCAAGAGGCATGGCGTGGAATTCATCACGATGATCATCCTTCTCCTGCCCTGCGGCCATCGCCTTGGCAGAGATGCCTTCAGTGAACTTTGCGAACTCAGCCTGGACAGCATCATCGAGGAAGGCTGAGAGCTAGGCGTAAGTGAGCACCAGCTGCTGCAATTACAGCAAAGTAGGCACGCATGAGGAACATGGATTTGAAACACAAGTCATGAACCAACGGCAGGGAACTAGCGAAACAGAGATGGAGCGGGGTGTTAGAAGGGAGCTGGAGAAGAAGAGAAGGATGTGCCAGCGGACGGGGAGAAGGTAGAGTGAAGCAGCGGGGACGGGAGAAAACTGGATACGGAGAAGGATTGAATACATCAGTATCTATACTAATACATATATATATATATACAAGACGGCCAAGATGCCCTCAAAAGGACTCCCACGAGGCACTCCGGAGGCGAAACAAGTAGGTTTCTTAAGGATGTTTGAAGGTTTTTCGTGTTCTCGCTGTTTCGTGCTTCCGACGGTCCAAGACTGCCCACGAGGCCCCAGAAATCATCTCAAGACGGCCCAAGAGGCACCTTAAGGGGGCGCCACGACGGCGCAAGAGAGTCCCAAGACGGCCCAAGAGTGCCCCAAGAAGGCCCAAGAGGCGCCCAAGATCGCCCAAGAGGGCCCCAAGACAGCCCCAAGAGGGGCCCAGGAGGGGGGAACACGAGACGACAATTCGAGCCTTCCGCCCCACGAGGCCTCCAGGAGGCCCCAAGAGGCTCCCAACAGAGCCCAAGAGGCTCCCTAGAGGCCCAAAGGGGCCCAAAAAGACGCCCCACGAGCACCCCATGAACGGCCTCCAAAGGGCCTCCAAAATTGCCTTCAAGAGGCCCCTGGGAAGCCTCCCACGCATTCCAAACGAACTTCAAGAGGACTCTAGCCCACAACACAGGCTCGGTGGCGGGATGGGCCGAAGGCCACTTATCGGGAACGTGAACCGAGAACCTGATATCTTCGCCCACGGAGACCCCCAGGAGGGATCAAGAGGTCCCCAAGAAGCTTGGCTACAGATCACCGGCCGACCGGTCGGTGAGAGCAGAGGAGGAGGAATGATGAAGAGGCAAGAGGAAACAGACAATGTTGACCTCATGATTCATGACCACCTTGTTATCTATGTGTCTATGTGCGGTCAGCACTCGACCAGCTAGAACCCAAGCGCGCGCGAAGCGCGCGCGATGGTCCTAGTAAATCCGCCGATCCGGCGTGTGAGTTTCAAGGAGTCTCAGCTACAGCCTCGAGGCTGAGCTTCAGCCTCTGGGGGGGTCGCCGGGGTGGCTCTGCCGGGGAAGGGGGGGTGGGGGGGGGGGGGGGGGGTGCGAGTTTCCGGCGAACCCCGGGGCCGCTCCGGGGGAGTGGAAGATAGGGGGGGGGGGGGCGCCATGCTCCGCTTTTTCCGGCGCTTTGGAGGAGGGGGGGGGCCCAAGAGACCCCCAAGGGGTTCCAAGAGGGCCCCGAGTCGCCGAAAAATCGCTCCAAGACGCCCGAGATGGCCTCCAGACGGCCCAAGGTGTCTCCAAGACGCCCCAAGAAGCTTCCAAGAGGCCTCCCAAGAGGGCCCCAAGAGGCCAGAATCGTTGATTTTCATTGGTTTTCTCAGGGTTTTTAGCGTTCTTGCCTTTTCGGGCGTCCGACGCTCGAAGACGGCCCAAGAGGCCCCCAAGTCCGTCCCAAGACGGCCCACGATGCTTCCAACACGGCCCAAGAGAGCCCCAAGACGGCCCAAGAGGGCCCCAAGACGGCCCAAGAGGGCCTCTGGACAGCCCAAGAAGGCCCCAAGAGAGCCCCAAGAGGGGCCCAAGAGGGGGACCACGAACCGAAAGAACCGAGCTTTCCGCCCCAAGAGGCCCCCAGGAGGCCCCAAGAGACCCCCAAGGGGCCCCAAGAAGCCCACAAGAGGCCCAAAAGAGGTTCCAAGAGGCCCCAAAACAGCTCCCCAGAGGCCTCCAGACTGCCTCCGGCAGGCCCCCGGTTTCTTCCGCGGCACCGCCCAGGGCGCCACCGGCAGGATGTCCTCCGTCTCATCGTTTTCCTTCAAGTTATCGCCTCTTCCTCATTCTCCTCCTCCTCCTCTGCGACCTCACTCCTATCCCTCAACGATCGCGTCACCGAGTGCCTCTTCTTTGAAACATCCTCGCTCTTCAAACGCACATCCATACACACATGCATACATACCTACATTTAAACACATTTGCATACATAGAAAAACAATCTTCCAGACATACATACTTACATTCACACACATACACACATATTATCATACACACATACAAACATACATACAAACTAAATACATACATACGCGCACAAGCATACATACATACATACGTACCTACACACAGGCACACATGATCAATGCATGCATACATGCATGCACGCGTACATACACACACATATATCGTGAAACTCACCGCGTGCTCGAAACTTGAGAGAGACCGCGGGAAGTCGAGAGAAGCCGCGGAACGAGGCCTCTACTACTACTACCACTACTACCACAACCACTACTACTACTACTACTACCACTACTACTACTACTACTACTACTACTACTACTGCTACTACTACTACTACTACTACTACTATACTACTACTAGTACTACAGGAGCGTTTCCCAACTAGTATGTGTGTGTGGGTGATGCTGTGTGCGCATGTCTGCGGCGCAGGTTAAGTGGTGTGACTGTGTGTGTGCGTTTGAGTGTGCGCCCATAATTTCTGCGTCTGGAGAATAACCCCGAGCGACCCGGATCGGCGGCACTGGCCGAAGGCCACTACAATACATATTATCCCGGCAAAGCAACCTAACAGCGATGTGTAGAAGCATATCTGAAAGCATTCCCCTTAAGATTCAGATGAAAATCCAGTTGTCGAATTCTGCTGTTCTCGCAGTCGTAGTCGCATTCGCGATGACAGTCGCAGCGGCAACGGCAGTCGCAGTCACAGCCTCAGCCTCAGCCTGCCTCCTCCTCCTCTTTCTCCTGCTCCTCCTCCTCCTCCTCCTCCTCCTCCTCCTCCTGCTCGTCCTCGTTCTCGTCCTCCTCGTCTTGCTCGTCCTCCTCCTCCTGGTGCTCTCTCCTCCTCCTCCTCCTCCTCCTCCTCCTCCTCCTCCTCCTCCTCCTCCTGGTGGTCCTCGTTCTCCTCCTCCTGGTGCTCTCCCCCCCCTCCTCCTCCTCGTCCTCCTCCTCCTCCTCCTCGTCCTCCTCCTCCTCTTCCTCCTCCTCCTCCTCCTCCTCCTCCTCCTCCTCCTGGTAGTCCTCCCCCTCCCCTCCTCCTCCTCCTCCTCCTCCTCCTCCTGTCTCCTCGTCCTCGTCCTCCTCGTCTTGCTCGTCCTCCTCCTCCTATGTTCTCTCCTCCTCCTCCTCCTCCTCCTCCTCCTCCTCCTCCTCCTCCTCCTCCTCCTCCTGGTGGTCCTCGTTCTCCTCCTCCTGGTACTCTCCCCCCCCCTCCTCCTCCTCCTCCTCGTCCTCGTCCTCCTCCTCCTCCTCCTCCTCTTCCTCCTCCTCCTCCTCCTCCTCCTCCTCCTCCTCCTCCTCCTGGTACTCCTCCCCCTCCCCTCCTCCTCCTCCTCCTCCTCCTCCTCCTCCTGGTCGTCCTCCTCCTCCTGGTCGTCCTCCTCCTCCTGCTCGTCCTCCTCCTCCTCCTGCTCGTCCTTCTTCTCCTGCTCCTCCTGCTCCTCGTCCTGCTCCTGCTCGTCCTCGTCCTCCTGGTCTTGCTCGTCCTCCTCCTCGTCGTGCTCTTGCCCCTGCTGAAAATGTGGCCCAGGAATGGGAGTTCTGGGAAGTCGAAGAGCACGAAGTTGCCTACAGTTGGCTACGGGCATTCAAAATGTGGCCCGGGAATGGAGTTCTGGGAACTCGAAGAGCACGAAGTGGCCTACAGTTGGCTCCGGGCATTCCAAAATGTGGCCCGGGAATGGAGTTCTGGGAACTCGAAGAGCACGAAGTGTGTGACTGTTGCATCCGGCCATCCAAATGTGGCCCGGGAATGGCGTTCTGGGATGTCGAAGAGCACGAAGTGTGTGACTGTTGCATCCGGTTATTCTAAATGTGGCCCGGGAATGGCGTTCTGGGATCTCGAAGAGCACGAAGTGTGTGACTGTTGCATCCGGTTATTCAGAATGAGCCTGGGAATGGAGTTCTGGGAAGTCGAAGAGCACGAAGTGTGTGACTGTTGGTGAAAAACGAGCTCGGCACAGGCCCGCCCGGCAACTCCCAACACCTGCCCGGACCCCCCTGTGGAGTGATCTGTGACCTCTTTTGACACCACTAGAAACCTATCAGTCTTCGCTGTTAGGTAATATACACACACGTATACTAGCGTGCGCGTGGACTGGGCAGCGTCACGACACAGCGGGTGCATGTTGCGGTGCCAATCCTACCCAACGCTCATCCTTCTTCGCTCCTATCTACTCGCTCCTGCCCCCCCTCCCTCCCTCCCTCCCTCTTTCCGCCCTCCTCGCGACTCGTTCCTTCCTGCTCGCTCCGCCATCGCCCATCCCCCTTGTCGCGCTTCCCTCCCTGCTCTTCCCTCCCTGCCCTTCCGTCCTCGCTCGGCTCGCTCCCCAGTCCACCCCCTTTGCCTCCAATCATCGCTCATCCATCCCTCCTCGCTCCCCCTTGCCCCACGCCATCCATGCCCTCGTCCCTTCTCCTCCTTATTCTCCGACTCCCTCCCTCCCTCCCTCCCTCCCTCCCCCATCCCTACCCCCCTCCTCCACTTCCTCCCCCTGTATCCTCCTACCTCCTCCTCCTCCTCCTCCTCCCATCCTCCTCCTCCTCCTCCTCCTCCTCCTCCTCCTCCTCCTCCTCCTCCTCCCTCCTCCTCCTCCTCTCCTCTATCTGCCTCCTCCCGCCTCCTCCTCCTCCTCCTCCTCCTCCTCCTCCTCCTCCTCCTCCTCACTCCTCCTCCTCTTTCTTCCTCCTCCTCCTCCTCCTTCCTCCTCCTCCTCCTCATCCTCCATCCTCCTCCTCCTCCTCCTCCTCCTCCTCCTCCTCCTACCTCCTCCTCCTCCTCCTCCTCCTCCTCCTCCTCTCCTCCTCCTCCTCCTCCTCCTCCCCCTCCCCCTG